ATGGGAGACTTGGAAGAAGCTCCTGGCTACCGGCTTCAGCCTGACTATTGTAGCCATTTGGCGAGTGAATCAATGGATAAAAGATCTGTGTCTCTCCCTCTCTAACATTTGCTTTCTAAAATTTTCAAAATATTTATTTATATGAAAGACAGAAAAAGAGAGAATCTCAAACCTCACAGCTCTCAGCTCTGACGGCTTCAACATCCAGTATTGAGCCTGGCCATAGGCCAGATCCCAGAATTCAACTGAAGTTTTCCACCAGGCTGTCAGGGACACAGCTACTGAAGTAATCATCTGCTATTTCCCAGGCTGTTCATTAGCAGGAAGGCAGACTCGGCAGAGCTGGCACTTCAATACAAGGTCCCTTATATTGGATGCAAGCTTTCCAAGCAGCATCTTAATAACTACACCAAATGTCCACCACAGAACACTGACTTTAAAATTGTACCAGTTTGCGGGGCACACTTAAGAGACTGATGGAATTATGACTCCTTATGAAGGACTATACTATTGTAGCAACGTGGAGAAAACATGTCCTGGGTGGGAGTTTGCAGGGGAATCCCAAATAAAATTTTTTTAAAAAATGCAATTGGGCCCAGTGGCGTGGCCTAGCGGCTAAAGTCCTCGCCTTGAATGTGCCAGGATCCCATATGGGAGCCAGTTCTAATCCCGGTAGTTCCACTTCCCATCCAGCTCCCTGCTTGTGGCCTGGGAAAGCAGTTGAGGACAGCCCAAAGCTTTGGGACCTTGCACCCATGTGGGATACCCAGAAGGAAGGTCCTGGATCCTGGCTTCCGATAGCATAGCATCGGCCGTTGCACTCACTTGGGGAGTGAATCATCAGACAGAAGATCTTCCTCTCTGTCTCTCCTCCTCTCTGTATATCTGACGTTCCAATAAATAAATAAATCGGGCCCGGTGCCATGGCACAGTGGTTAAGGTCCCTCGCCTTGCACGCCCGGGATCCCATATGGGAGCCTGTTCTAATCCCGGCGGCCCCACTTCCCTTCCAGCTCCCTGCCTGTGGCGCGGGAAAGCAGTGGAGGACGGCCCAAAGCTTTGGGACCCTGCACCCGCGTGGGAGACCCGGAAGAGGCTCCTGGCTTCAGATCGGCATAGCATCGGCTGTTGCGCTCACTTGGGGAGTGAATCATCGGACGGAAGATCTTCCTCTCTGTCTCTCCTCTCTGTATATCCGCCTTTCCAATAAAAATTTAAAAATAAATCTTTAAAAATTAAATAAATAAATAAATAAATAAATCTTTAAAAAAATGTACCAGTCTGGATTCTTATCCAGGCTCTGACATTTACAACCTATTTAACTTTACATAAAAACTTACTCTCTCCAAGCTTCCATTCTTTTATACAGTATTCACTGCTGCTGAATACCAAGTGCTTCCCCTTCATTTCTGTTGTGGGCAACTGGAAAAATTACACTTCTTGACTGCCTTCATGTTGGTATAATGATATATATGACTGACTCCGGCCAACGTATTGGGAGTGATAATGCTACTTCCAAATGAAAACATCAGTTGCTGGTTTTAGACCCTTTAAAATGTTCCTCTCTGGCAAAGTTACTGACAACTTTCTAGGTGTTGGCTGCTTCATCACTTTTTTTTTTTATCAACTAGCCATTCCAGTAAAAATCAATTAAACATCAATATCCATAATCCATAAGGGACAGGCAGTTGCCCCAAATATGAACTAGGGGTACAAAATAACCTGCTGAGATTGGCACTGATATAATCCACAGCACCACCTGGCCTCTCCAGACTCATATCTCATCTGCAAATTAACACAGTGTCCTTAGGGCCAGCATCATGGTTCAATTGACTAATCCTTTGCCTGTGAGCGCTGTCTGTCCATATGGTCCTGGATCATGTCCCAGCTGCTTGCTTCATTTCCAATACAGCTCCCTGCTTCTGGCCTGAAAAAGTCACAAGCCTAAGTCATTGGGTCCCTGCACCCATGTGGGAGCCAGGGTTCCAGCTTACTGGCTCTTGGCTTCTAATTGCCTCAGCTCCAACTGTTGTGGCCACTTGGAGAGTAAACCAACGGATAAAGGTTCTTTCTCTCTCCTCTCTGTAAATCTGCCTGCCCAGAAAAAATAAATACGGGGGGAATCAAGAGTGATCCTGACAACCTCTTAACAGGAGGTCATATGCACAGAGCGGGGGGAGGGGGGGGATCCCAGAGTGGAGCAGGTGGACAGGAGGAGGCTTGTATCCCAACCCTGGAGACTCCCGGATCCTCACCAAGGACTATCAGTACGGGCACAAAGGACTAAATCCCAACTGCCAAGGAGACCAGGGGGAATTGGAGTGCCTCCGGAGGCCGAGAACTCTGAGGTCATCCACTCCCATCTGAATCTCCCACATGGGATGGAAGAAATCCAAATCCCTCCTCGCAGGGTCCAATGTCATTGGAACAACAGCCAGGAGCCCTGAGCGGTCTGCAAGAAGAGTAAACTTCCTTCGGGACTAGGGAGAGGAACCTTCTCTGGTCCTTACTTAGTTCCAACTTTGGATACCCAGCCTCTCTTACAACAACCATCAGGATCACCCTGGAGCCCCCCCCCCAAAAAAAAAACAAAACAAACAAACAACCAAAAAAAATTAGAGTAGGTAGACAGAGAACAACAAGGAAAGCGTAGAACCAGACAGGAAAAGGTCAGTGGGGACTCACATATACCTTACTAGGTAGGACACGAAAATAAGTTACTCCTAACTAGGGTATTGAAGATTTCTCTGCACACCCCTCCTAAAACTGTTCTGTGTCTCAACAGTTGACATATGCCTTGTTAAAATTATAAACCAGTTTGGACTATCCTAAAATCTGCCAAGTTCAGTAAAATTATGCTTCAATACAATAAACGGCTAAATACTAAAATGAAAACAGACAAGATAGAAGCTGGTTGCATATAAGCTTAAATTGAAATGTCAATGAAGTAGTCACAGGATGTGGTTAACAACTTGCATTTTAGTAATCTTTTCTTTTTTTTTTTTTTAATTGGAAAGGCGGATATACAGAGAGGAGAGACAGAGAAGAAGATCTTCCGTCCAATGATTCACTCCCCAAGTGAGCGCAATGGCTGATGCTATGCTGATCTGAAGCCAGGAGCCTCTTCCGGGTCTCCCACGCGGGTGCAGGGTCCCAAAGCTTTGGGCCGTCCTCCACTGCTTTCCCGCGCCACAGGCAGGGAGCTGGAAGGGAAGTGGGGCTGCCAGGATAGAACCGGCGCCCATATGGGATCCCGGGCATGCAAGGCGAGGGACCTTAACCACTGTGCCATGGCACCGGGCCCAACAACTTGCATTTTCTAACATATCAGTCATTCAATACCATGTCAATTAATCCCATAATATTGTAAACTGCTGTTGATGTTATGTTATGGCTTTTAATTGGTCGGAACGATATTCTGCCAGCTCTGCTTTTAGACCAGAGATGGCCTCCCCAAGAAACTGTTGAATTGATCTGGACAATAAGATGCTGGACTCTATGCATGGTACATGCTTGCAATGAAAGAAACAAGACTGGATTTGAACTGTAATACTGCATAAGGTGGAGGAATCCGCCATGGGGGGAGGGGAGAGTAATGGGAGGGGTTGGGGAACCTCAGAGGCTATGAAAAGATGTCATCAAATGAAATGCAATTGGGTCCGGCGGCATGGCACAGTGGCTAAAGTCTTTGCCTTGAATGCGCCAGGATCCCATATGGGCGCTGGTTCTAATCCCAGCAGCTCCACTTCCCATCCAGCTCCCTGCTTGTGGCCTGGGAAAGCAGTTGAGGATGGCCCAAACCCTTGGGACCCCTGCACCCATGTGGGAGACCCGGAAGAAGTTCCTGGATCCTGGCTTCGGATCGGCACAGCATCGGCTGTTGCGCTCACTTGGGGAGTGAATCATCGGATGGAAGATCTTCCTCTGTCTCTCCTCCTCTCTGTATATCTGACTTTCCAATAAATAAATAAATCTTTTTTAAAAATGAAATGCAATTTAAAAATAAATAAATAAATCAATCTTGTTTTTTTAAAAGAAGTGTCCTCTCACAATTTTTCTGAGAATTAAATGAGAAATTTACATGCGAAGATTATCAAATGCCTGCTATATCACACAGGCTCAAAATATGACAACTAAAATTATTACATAATAATAAAATGTTTTTGAAGAGCTTTGGATTATTTGCATAAACCAAGAGCTATCATTTCAGCTCATCCTGACAGAGAAGCTGGATCTTGCTTTCAGGAGTGGGGTACTTTTTCTGGTGCTACAGATTAACACTTATTTTTCAAAGATTTATTTATTTTTATTGGAAAGGCAGATATACAAAGAGGAGGAAAGACAGAGAGGAAGGTCTTCCGTCCAATGATTCACTCCCCATGTGACCGCAACGGCCAGAGCTGAGCCAATTCGAAGCCAGAAGCCAGGAGCTCTTCTGAGTCCCCCACATGGGTGCAGGGTCCCAAGGCTTTGGGCTGTCCTCTACTGCTTTCCCAGGCCACAAGCAGGGAGCTGGATGGGAAGCGGGGCCGCCAGGATTAGAACCAGCAACCATATGGGATCCTGGTGCATTCAAGGCAAGGATCCGAGGACCTTCACCACTATGCTATCGTCCTGGGCCCATATTAACAATTTCTATGGCACATTTATATACTTATTTTCTGTCATAACGATAAAACATGCTTGAAACTTGGAGTTACAGCTGAATAATTAAAACATGCAAAGTTTCAACAAGCAGAATGATAACTGAGATAAAATTAATTACAGATCATGTAGTCTTTCTTCATGACACGAATATATAATAGTTATTACAAAAATACATCCCATTCTTTGCAGTGAAAAACAGTACAGATTTGGAACTGGTAGAAAGCTGCTTATGTTGGCAGCTTATACAATGCTGCATTCCATTCAAACTGGGGAAATGATCCCTCCCTTTGTGAATCATGCTGTACCTTATCATATTACCTTTTAAAAAATCTATGGTATGTAAATTTATTTACCTTTGTGGTTATATGGCCCACTCTTCTTTAGGGTAGACAACATGCTATTGCTCTCTTGGTCAGTGTTTTGCAGATCTTCAAAGTGCAGAGCTGAGAGAAAAACAGAAAGAACTACAAATAATGTGAGGATAAAATAACTAGCAAATAATATTTCTACCATCTATCAAGCAATCTTTACAGCCCCATAAATAAAGCATCTCACTATTTGCTCAACCTCATAAATTCAATTCTACTTTCACAGGATTGACAAATATGACCTATGATTTCACTTAAGATTTTCCTCCTTAAATATATTCACTACAGCTACATGAAGAACAAAAGACTATACACAGTAAAAAATCTTAGAAGCAAGTCACAGAAATTCAAATGGGGATATGAGAGGAACAAATGGTGCCCAACTGAACTATTTGAACTAATTTTGAGATCACAAGCATACACAAACCACCTTCCCACTCCTAAATGTACTTTTAAGAATAACACATAAATTCCGAATATTCAGATCCTGGTTACTGTCACACTTTTATAGAAACATCCAATTCTTTGGAAGGAACTTGCCCTATCCCTTGAACAAGATTAGCATGTTTACCAGGGAGTCAGTGCTGCTGGCATCTCACATGAACTCAGGTGCTCATTCCAGCTGCTCCACTTCCTATCCAGTCCCAGCTCCTTGCTACTAGCCCTAGGAAGGCAGCAGATGTTCCAAGGAATTAGGCCCCTAAATGCATGTCAAAGATTGGGATGGAGTTTCAGGTGGCCATTTAGAGAGAAACTAAGTAAATCAAATATTTCTGTGTCTCTCCGTTTAATTCAGATTTCCAAATAAGTAAATCTTCAAAATGAAAATTTTCCAGGACAATATACCATGAGAAAAAAGAGACAAATTAAGACTGGATGAACAGTCGTCTCTAGCAACAGGGAATTTCTGGCATTGTTAATAATGCTGTGAGAAGAAAGGAGCCCAGGAGGACATCCCCAGGCACAAATAGAGAAGAAACTAGGCTGAGAAGCCAAGGGATTGATTGATTCAGAGGGCAGGGGAGGGGAGCACTACTGTGCCACCTACGGATTCCAGGAACGGAAAAAAAAAAAAAAAAAAAAAAAAACAAAAAAAAAACCTAACACCTGCCACAGCCTACACCTTGCTCCAAACCTACATGCCCCCAATCCTGATGCCCAATCTCACTGTCCCTCCTTCACAGGCTACCATCGGACCTATGTGCCCACAACCACCACATCGTCTCACCATTGCAGTTGCCCACCCCTCACGTCCTACCCTTCATCCCACATGCCCACAAATGCCACATCACATCCAACCACAATCCCCTTACATTGCCTTTCAACCTACATACTCTAAAATACCGGGCCTGCCACTCCCAGATACACTTTCTTTGGTCTTTCCTGCCCCCAATATAACACTCTTTCCCGCCTTCCTCCCTAGCCCCACTTTTCGACCTAATTGCCCAGCATGCTGATGCCCTGTCCCACTGCTGTCCCTCCCTCACATCCTACCTTTCAACCCATGGTTCCTGCACTCTGACACCACTTCCCTCCCCTGTCCGTCCCTCACATCCCACCCTTCGACCTACTTGGCCCCAGCCTTCCACTGCTCCTCCTGGACAACGTGCCTTTCATAGTAGGAGCCCACCAATGCCTTACACCTTCTCACCGCCCCTCTCTCACACCCCACCTTTCGATCTATGTGCTCCCACAGTGACGGCGTGTTCCTCCGCCATCCTTCCCCCAAACACCACCCTTCGACCTACGTGCCCCCACACTGAAGTCCCTTCTGGCCACCGTCGCTCCCTCGCACCCCACGTTTCAACCTATGCCTTCCTCACGGTGACTTCCGTGACTCCCGTTCCCGCCGCCTTCCTTTCATCACACCTCAGCACTCGACCTACCGTGCTTTCACGCTGACTCCGCGTCCTGCCTTTGTCCTTCCCTCACACCCCAACATTCTACCTACTTACCGCCCATGCTGACGCCCTTTCTGGCCGCCATCCTTCCCTCACATTCCAGCCTTCGACCTACTTGCCCCCCACGCTGACGCCCCGTGCTGCCACTGCCCTTCCTGGACAACGTTCGTTTTGTATTAGGAGCCCACCAATGCCTTGCACCTTCTCGCCTCCCCTCTCTTACACTCTCTTCTGAAGCCCTTCCAGCCGCCGTCTTTCCCCCCACACGCCACCCTTCGACCACGCTGACGCACCTTCTGGCCACCGTGGTCCCTCCCTCACACCCCACGTTTCAACCTACGTGCCCCGCATGCTGGCGCCTCCTCCTGGCCACAGTCCCTCCCTCACAGCCCACCCTTTGACCTACTTGGCCCCGGCCTTCCACTGCCTGTCGCCGCCCCTCTCTCCACACGCTAGTCTGAAGCCCTTCCAGCCACCGTCCTTCCCTCACTCCCCACCCTTCGACGTACCGTGCCCCCACGCTGACGCAGTGTCGTGTCCCTCCGCTGTCTTCCCTCACTCCCCACCCTTCGACCTAAGTACCCCCGAAGCTGACGCCGTGTCCCTCCGCCACAGTCCCTCCCTCACACCCCACCCTTCGACCTACGTGCTCACACGCCCCTTCCCGCCACAGTCCCTCCCTCACACCCCACGTTTCAACCTACGTGCCCCGCATGTTAGCGCCTCCTCCTGCCTCAGACCTTCTCTCCCACTCCACCACTTACTGGCCCTGTCCTGCTACTGCCTCTCCAAGACAACGTACCTTTTGTACTAGGAGCCCACCACTGCCTTACACCTTCTCGCCACCCCTCCCTCACATGCTGCTCTGAAGCCCTTCCAGCTGCCGTCCTTCCCTCACTCCCCACCCTTCGACGTACGTGCCCCGGTGCTGACGCCGTGTCCCTCCGCCGTCCCTCCCTCACACCCCACCCTTCGACCTACATGCCCCCACGGTGACGCCCCTTCCCACCGCCGTCCTTCGCTCATACCTCACCGATTCGACGTACGTGCCCCCCGAACTGAAACCCCGTTCTGCCATCACTATCCCGCCACACTCCACGTTTCAACCTACGTGCTCCCCACGGTGACATCCCCTCCACTGCTGTCCCTGCCTCACACCCCACCCTATGACCTACATGGCCCCCCACACTGAGGCCCATCCCGCCTCCCTTCTTCACATTCTATTCTTTATCACACACTTTGTCCTGTCTCCCCTGCGGTCTCCCTCCGTATTTCTCCACCTCGGCAGCAATACTGTTTTTCTCCCTCCTTGTACTTCACAAGCTTCTGTGGACAATGCCCCACCCTACACTTTGTGGACGAGACAAGTCTGTTCACTTTAAAAAGCTAAGCCTGCCCCCTATCTACCTGCCCGCCTCCGGAGCACTTTGCTCTCTGGAAGCTCCTTGGCGCCTCCTAGAGCTGACTTTTCCAAGTAAAATTCCAGTTAAGGTTAGTTCAATCCTGTTCTAGTAGAACACCGCCCAGCACAGCAGGATTTGACAGAGGCTAGCCAGTGGGTTCAGAGGATACTTTCTGCCTGAGCCAGGACACTGACCCCAGTTCTAAAGGCCCTCTGCACCTGTGGGTCGGAGCACTCAGAGGGCGAAATTTTCAAGGCCCTCCACAATGCTTCAACAGCGGGTCTTTTTACTTGGTGTGGCTTGAGTCCTCGTGACGTTGAGAACCACGTGACTTTCAGTGTTGGCACACATCATCTGTCATCTGTACGCTGCGTAGAGGGTTGAACCAAGGGTCCTAACCAACAGAAACCACTTCCATAGCATGTCTGCAGTGTTCACATTATAGTTAGGCCTTCACCTGCCACGTTATGATATCAACAATGTTACTGTTGGTATATGCACCGCCAGGGTTTAGCAGTTAAAAACGTTACTGTGGTTGAGAGGACTGAACATGGCTTCCAGCCTGTATTTGGATGAGAATGGAATGGGCATACACGTCTATAGCCTACACATAACCCAAAGACACGGTCGACTGGAATGTGTCCAAGTGCTGAGGCCGTCACATGATAGTAAAATGAGAAAGCTAGAGAAAGGGAGAATCCAGATGAAAGAGTAGGTGCTACCTTGCAACGGTAGAAGGGACATAACTCAAAAGATACCATTGCCTCAGTGCTTAGGAGCCCATAGAACTAATACGATCAATAGGTCTGAGCTTAACATATGGTTGTAATAGCCACACAATGACAGCACCCATGTGACCTGTAAGCTTCATGGTTTACAATATTCATGTTCTCATGCTCACAGGGGCCAAGACCAGCTTCTTGACGGTAAAGTCCACTGAGCACAGGGTTCCCCTAATTTTCACGTTTTTAAGATATCAGTCACTCTCTGCATGAAAACTGACCCTTATTCAGAGCAAAAATATTTTAATTTCACAAACACCTCTTCTGCTGATTTGTATGGCCCAAAGTAATTCTAGTGTTGTCCTTCTGCTTTGTTTACGTAGGAAAGTGATGTTACACAAGAATAGAGATTATTATGTTTGAGTTATGTGATGTGGCATAGCTATGTAAAGAAAAAAATCAGAGGAAAACTTCACAGACCATATTTCCCACTGCAGTTAAATATACTGGTAAGGACGGCACACTGTGTTTGTTGTTCTAAGCCTACTGAAGATAGCCACAACTGTTGAGATGAAGGCTAGGAAGATAGGATAGAATCTGAGAAAATCAAATTTTCTTAGGTAAGGAATTATGTACTTGACACATGTAAATGTAGAATAAGGAATTTTCAAATTAGAAAGCATCATTTACAGTCACAGGATGGTCTCTTGTTTCAAGAGTAAACATCCATTGCAACCTCAGTTTCCATAATTTCTTTTCTTCTTTTTTTTTTCAGAGTTGGGCTTAGTTTCTTTTTTATTATTATTATTAATAACATTGTATTATTTAATTTCACACACATAAAGAGATCTTCAGTAATAGACACAGAAAAATTGCATCCAGTCCAGACATTGTCAACCCAGACTTACACAATTAATGATGACTGGAATCAACAGTTTCAATCAAAAGATAAATCCTAGTGGATTACAAATTGTAACTATTTTTAGGTTGGATTTTGCAGATACTCATTTTTTTTCTTTTTTTTTTTTTTTTAGATTTATTTTTATTGGAAAGGCAGATATACAGAGAGGAGGAGAGACAGAGAGGAAGGTCTGCCATTCAATGTTTCACTTCCCAAATGGCCACAATGGCCAGAGCTGAGCCAATCAGTAGTCAGGAGCCAGGAGCTCTTTGGGTCTCTCACACATGTGCAGGGTCCCAAGACTTTGGGCCATCCTCGACTGCTTTCCCAGGCCACAAGCAGGGAGCTGAATGGGAAGCAGGGTCACTGGGATTAGAACCAGTGACCATATGGGATCCAGGCACTAGTAAGGTGAGGACTTTAACCACTAAGTTATTGCGCCTGGTTCCAGAATTACTCATTTCAGCAAGTACTTTTAGGTCTATAAAGCACTCAAAAATAATTTTTGTGCGGTAGGGAGTCATAGTTTATTGATTTATATATAGTGAATATTCAGCTGTTCTATTCTGGCTACATTTTTCAAAAATAATTTCATTCCTGTCAGATTGTTTTGCCAAGTTTGTTGAAAATCAAGTGCTCACATAAACGTGAATCTGTTTTTAGGCTCTCTCTTCTACTCCATTGATTTAATTCGCTGATCCTTATGACAATAACATACCATATTGATGAATGAATACTTCTTACTACAATAATCCTTACTTCGTTTTACAAAATTTAAGCCTCAACAAAAAAGAGTATATAACTTAAGCTGAAATAAATAAATAAGATCAAGATGAGCCTAAAACGCACCTGAGGAAAAATTCTTAAACATTTTGTTACAGCTTTAAAACATTTCATAATTACTAGTGTATCACAAACAAAACATATTTTCCTGGAAATATCTAAGAACTGTTTCAAAGCAAAATTTCAGGTTAAGAACAAATTATACATCTTAAAGTGTTTTTGATGTTACCTGCAGTTTGTCACATTTTTTCAAGCCATTAACCTGTATCTCTATTGAAAATGGTTGACAATTCAGGTTACCTACTTTGAAACAGTAATGATGGGACAAGGGAATCCTTCTGTGTCAATTTGAACGAAATTAGTACAGACTACAGTTTTTTAAAGCCATGCACAATTTGTTTACAATGGATTTTTAAAGAATGCTTTAAACAGTTGCTTTGGTTTTTTTTTTTCTTACAAAATAATGTTATACTATATTCTTAATACTGATCTTTTCCAAGTTAAACTTTAAAGGAAGCTGTATAAAAGTTTTTATTAGAAGTCCATATTTTTCTTTACAAAGCACATATCTGAAGTTGATTCATGACTTTTTAAAAAAAAGATTTATTTATTTATGTATTTATTGGAAAGGCAGATATACAGAGAGGAGGAGAGACAGAGAGGAAGAGCTTCCCTCCGATGATTCACTCTCCAAGTGAGCACAACGGCCGATGCTATACCGATCCAAACCCAGAAACTTCTTCTGGGTCTCCCACAGGGGTGCAGGGTCCCAAAGCATTGGGCCGTCCTTGACTGCTTTCCCAGGCCACAAGCAGGGAGCTGGATGGGAAGTGGAACTACCGGGATTAGAACCAGCGCCCATATGGGATCCTGGCTCATCCAAGGCGAGGACTTCAGCTGCTAGGCCACGCCACCGGGCCCTGATTCATGACTTTTTAAACCTTTATTTTTTATTGTAAAGAATTTTCTCATAATTCATTTTATTAGTGAACACTATGAGTCCATCTTTTAGCTTCAGCATGTGAATTTTTTAATTTGTTCATTGTATTATTAAATCACTTTAATAAAGGGAAAGTTGGTGGGACATTGAATAGAAAAATGAATGAGTTATTTTTCATACAACATTTCAGTTGGTAATAAAGAACTCCAACCATGGGGAAAAAAATCACACTATCTGTGGTCTGACCATGGAGTGCGTATGTCAGAACTGAGCCTTCTAAGTTGCTGAAGACAGTGTAGTGGAAGGCATGTACAAGGAGGAGATGGTAGTTCATTG